ATATATATATTTAGGCATATTTATAAAAAATAAAAATAAAAGCATTTAAAAATAACAAAATTACTCAAATGTAATTAAATTATTAATAGAAAATATCTATAAAATCTAATTCAAAATATTTCCAAAAACTACAACAGTATATCAGTGATACTAAAATAACACTGTAATGGACATAAAAAAAAATCTATTTTTGTTGCCTTTTTTTGTTGTTGCCTTTTTTGTTGTTGTTGAAACATCAGGGAAGTGATTTATAGACTATGGCCTCTTACGTGTTAAAACCGCATTCCTGCCGCAAACACACGTTGGCTCGTGTTTCTCAAACTCTTTGCTCACTTGATCATATTCTCCACGTTATGAAAGACAGAAGCTGCTTCTCATCAGCATTAGAAAATGAACCAAAGTTTGTCTTGAGTTCAGCTCATTTGTTTTTCATTTTGGAAGGCGTCACTGTCGGTCAGCAGTATCTCACCCTGGAGGGGATTGTGGGCCATGTATCTGTTCTCTAAATGATCTAAACCTCACATAATTCACTCCAGTTTCAAAACAAAAACCACTGTCCTAAACATCTGAATGTTCCAGATTCCCCATACTAAGAAATCAGGTTGCCCACCCCAAATTTCATTTTATCTTTTTTCATTTTTCTGGATTCATTTTTGTTTGTTTGTTTGTTTGTTTTGTTAATGTTCTGAATTCCATTTTAATGTTTGTAATCAAAAAGCATGTCTAATTAATTAAAATCATGCAACTAATAGAATTTAACAATTTATTAAAAGGTTAACAAAATTCAATTTTAGGGCCCTATGAAATCAGTTTTATTTTTCCTCAAATTCCTTTTTTTTTCTTGATTCTGTATTAATGTATAATGTATAAATTAATAAATAATGTATAAATTAAATGCTAATGACCAAAAGTGTCTAATTACTTTAAATCATGTAACTTCCAGAATTTAACAACAATTTATTAAAAGTTTATCATAAGTTACATTTTTGGGGCCCTATGGAGTTTCCATTTTACTTTTAAATTCTGTGTTTTCAGTTTGAGTTTTTATGGATTCCATTTTAATGGTTTAATTACATTGATTATTACATAATAATCAAAAAATCATGTCTGATCAATTTAAACAACTTAATTAAGCTTTTTACAATAATAGTTTCACAATAAATAAATGATTCATTTCAGAAATTCTGTTGTCTGTTTTATTTTTTTTAATTTATGATTTAATGCCATATATATTATCAAAAACATTGGTAATCAAGAGTCATTAAACATATATATGGAAATCAAATAAATGTTTTGCTACAGGAAGGGCTTTACCTTTCATTTTATTGACATGAATAGAACATTTGGAATGAATAGAAAACCTGTTTATTGTTGTTGTTTTCCAGACTGAGATCCCTGAGCTGCAGACGACGTATTCAGAGCGAACTCGAGCGTTCATTTCTTGGCTGCTGGAGTCTAGAACCTTCCATCCTGCTTTTCATGTGGTCAAGTATGTCTGCTCTCTCTGTTTCTCCTAAATCCATACAGCTTTCTTCTAGGGCTGTGCGATTTGGGGGAAAATATCAAATTGCGATTTTT